GCAGGAGAGGCAGGTGCTGCACGTGCTGACAGGGCTTCCCTCAGCAAACCTGCAGGGGAGAGCCTGGCTCTCAGCAGTGCTACATCAATGTTCCCCTTAGCCAAAAAACTCTGGCAGCTCCAGTGACTCCTGCAGGCTCCCTTTACTGCCTTGCACAGCCTACAAGTCCCCAGTCATCTTCCTTCCTCTTAATTCTGATTCTCCCTTCCAGGTTGCTCGGAAACTGGTGATCATAGAAGGAGATCTGGAGCGCACTGAAGAGAGAGCTGAGCTTGCAGAGTCGTGAGTAATCAGCTCACATGTAACTGGCACATCTACCTTTGCATGGGAACTAACACGGCATTTCTAACCTTGTTACACAAGGCCTGAAGGACGGGGTGGGTTTAGATCCTCAGATGAAAGTTAGAAGCACTCTGCTGCTCGGAACAGGATTAGGTCTACTGAGGATACGGAGTTTGCAGTGACGTGACTTGCCTTGTAGTGGAGATGTTCTGCCCCTTTGCATGGAGGGACCCCCTAGTTAGCGAGGCCAGAGAATCCTTCTGCACTCAGTATTCACCAGAACTGCTTTGTACGTATGGTCACGAGATCCTTACGTGTTGCTACAGTGCATGTGAGTGTACAGCACTTGTCCTAAAGCATTGGAGGCCTCCTGGGCCGGGAGCTGAAGGGGCATGCGGGATGTCCAAGGGCAGAATTGTGGCTGAGGTCAGCCTCCGGCCTCTTAAAATACTTGCAGTAACCACTACAGACTTCTGCACTGCTGAACAGCAAGCTGGACTTCCTCTGCTTGGAGCAGACACACAACTTGTGGTGTTTGGGCTCCTTTCACGTGTGTGGATGCTTTAGCTGATCCCTGGGGAACTGGTCAGGGCCTTTCTGTACTCTGGGCCTTGTCTAACAAAGTTAGTGTGTATGCAGCAGTAGCGCTGTGCTTCCTGCCCAGACATGCATGTCATGACCATGACTTTTTTGTGTTTTTCCCCTACCCCCTTTTTTGCTCTGTGGTATTGTGTTATTGGTGCTCTTTTTGACCCTTGCCCCCACCTGGCTTGTGCCATCGTGTGACCGTCACTAACAGTCGTTGCCGGGAGCTGCAGGAGCAGATCAGAGTGATGGACCAGAACTTGAAGTGTCTGTCTGTTGCCGAAGAAAAGGTACTAACCTTTCCCTTCTCGAACCATTAAACCAGAACTCTTGTGGTCTTCTTGCTACGCTCCTTCCCTCAGCTTAACTGCGTCTTTCTCTCCTGGAATGTTCTGTCCTCTCTGCCCATAAATATTCCTGTCTGAGTAGTGGTGGCTGTCCATCTGTCTGTCAGAACAGCTTCCCTCCTTACAGCAAACTAAACATATGCAGAAATCTGTGTCCACATCTCAGCTGCTCAGCTCAGTGCCCTGCACATGTGCTGGCAGAATACTTAAAATACGAACTTGGAGGCGGGAAGGGAACTTGCTTTCTGCACAAGTGCCTCAAAGCAGGGTCCCATCCAGTCCCGATCGCAGGCTGACTTCCCTGCACATGGATTCACTTCTTGTCTCTCCTGTCTTTCCCTCCCACTTCTTTCCTTTTTCTCTCCGCTTTCTTTATGAAACCACAGTAAATGTTCCGAGCTGGAAGAAGAACTGAAGAATGTCACCAACAATCTCAAGTCTCTTGAGGCTCAGGCTGAGAAGGTAGGGCTGCTTGTCCAAGGGCCAGAAACATTTCTGTTTTGCTATGAGGGTGTGTGACAACAGAGCACCCACTGGGATGGAAATGATGCAACTGCAGCCTTAAGCAAGCAAGGAGAGCTGTGCTTGCTCTCCTGGGAAAGCTAACGGATTTCAGCACAGGGCCAATGTTGACTGTAGAAGCTGGGAGTGCGGGAAGTCTGGCTGCCCTTCCTTGCCTTGGGGCAGACTTGATCAGCCAAGATGTTTATGCTGCTGGGATGAGAATTTTTCTGCACCCAGGCGTGTTACATGCATGGTGTGGGACTTGCTGCCTGACCCGGTTCTGTTGGACTAGGGTAGGAGTGTGAACAACTCCCAGTTGGAAGTTTCTGTGGGCACGTGCACTGCCGTGAGGAGTTTGTCTCCCTCTGTAGCTGTGGGCTCTCTGGAGTGGGAGGTACCTGGGGCTGCTGATTGCTGACTCCCCTCTTCTTTCACAGTACTCTCAAAAAGAGGACAAATATGAAGAAGAGATCAAGATCCTGACTGATAAACTCAAAGAGGTGAGTGACCATGCAGGGATGGCCCAGCTGGGGAGAGATGTGGAGGGTGGGAGGGTCCTCAGGCAGATGCCTCTAGGCCTTTGCTGTATGCCAAAGCTGTTGTACTAATTGGCTCGCCCTGTCTGGCAGGCAGAGACGCGTGCTGAATTTGCTGAACGGTCTGTAGCCAAGCTGGAGAAGACCATTGATGATTTGGAAGGTACGTTATGAGGACGGGAAGCCAACGAGTATGTGGTGAGGAGTGGGGAGCTGGGAAGGCTGTCTGCCAAACAGCTGGAGAGTGGAAACACTGCTCTGCTCCTCAATACTTGGAGCGTGACCTAACTCTGCCTCCACGATGAGGCTTGGTGCCTCTGGGCTCAAGAGTCATGCCCCATGTATCTCCTCTGAAAACAGTTCCCTGGCTGTGCTGTGGCAGGTATCAAGCTCTTGATCCAAACACCTTGCCATATCTTACTGATACTGACAGATAGCGTGGCTGGTGTATCTTTGTTGTGATGTCCTCAGGAATGTAGCTGAATTCCTATGCTCCAGCTTAACCCAATTTAAGGAGTGGCATAGGAAAGAACTGCCTGAACTCAACAGGAATTGGTTACAATAACATACTTGTGTGCAGAATCTCATGCATGTGGCTGGCTGCTGCAGATGGTGTTGCTGCAAGTCAACTATACAGTAGTCTTGAAACAACCCCCATGAAGACTCAGACTCCCCAGTGTTAGTTCTGGTTCAAGATTAAATTGCCAGAAGACCCATCCATGCAATGTGGTGGTCAGCCTGTGCCAAGGATGGGTTCCTTTCTTCCTCCTGTTCCTGGTTTCACAGTACTTCAGAAGCACTCCTGAGGCCAGCTGTTGCAGAATCCTACCTTTCCCCAAGCCATGGAAGGAGATGGTTCCAACTGCCTCCTTTAAATCTGGGGCTGTGGACAGATTCTTCTGTGGATAGCTGTGGCTGCAGTGGTGGTGCTGGTAAACCAAAACTCTTACAGGCCTCCTGCCTTGACCTTGTGGTCTTTTAGTGCCAGGTCTTGGAGATTCAAAGCCACATCCTACCATCTGGAGTCACTCGGGAGGTTTTTTTATCTAGAAATAGCAATGGTGTCAGCTGAGCTGTTCCAGAACCACAGCCAAGCAGCAATCTGAGCCACCTCATGATACAGGGCAAGCTTTTATTTGGAACTGCAAAAACTCCTCCAAATGTCTGCATGTTTGCTTTGAAACACATTGATCAAGAGTTGGCTCTGGTTTCCAGCCTTGCTGCTGAAGTGACCTAGTTTATGACAACTGACAAAGTTCTCTGGGCTCTGTGAAGCCATTGACAACATTACCAGCTGTATTGTAGCCTAGGCAGCCAGGGCTGGGAGAAGTCTGTGCCAGCTCTGCGCAGTGCTCAAGGAGTGCATCAGTATGAGTTTCAGGACTGCCTCCTGCCCTGAAGGCAGTTGATCTGCCTGTTTCCTCCATTATCTGATGGAGAACACGAGTGTGGCCTGTTTGGCTTACTCTGCCTAGCTGTGTACTACAGAATGGGAATTCCCACTGATGCTCAGGACTTCTGTGACTGACTTCTCCCAAGCTGGTTTTTGTATTGAGACTGAAGGTGAGGACAAAGCACTTAAATTGATCTGTGCCTTCCTTAGGTGTAGCAAGCTTCTCCCTAAGTGGATGGAGCTGCCCTTCCCTGCTGCTACTCCTGTCAGTGGTTCTTGCTGACCTAGCTTGGCAGCTTGTTCTCACAAGCTGATGTGGTTTGAGCTCTTGGGTCTGTTCCCCTTGGAGCTGGCTTGTAATCCTGGAAGGCACTTGCTGGTCAGACTGTCCTCAGGCTGCTGGAACCCTCCCGTTCATTGTCGGGAACCAATACAGAGTCATGATGCTCCACATCTAACTTCATTTTCTTCTGTTCATGAATCCCATACTGCTTTTCCTGCCCCAGGGTGTTGGAAGAACTCCTTTGCCTTCCCTTATTGTTTCCCTTTTGTTCTCCTCCTAAACCTCTTCTAGATGAGCTCTATGCCCAGAAACTGAAGTACAAAGCAATTAGTGAGGAACTGGACCACGCCCTGAATGACATGACTTCCATGTAAATATGAGCTGGCTGGTGTTTGCCTCTTGCTTCAGCAGGCTAGACCGCCAGAGCTTGCTTGGTTTGCTGTGATTTTCATAGTTGGAGAACCAATGGCACTGTGTTGTCTAGGTTACTTCTACAGATCTCTGCCTTGAGGATTGTGGAGGTTTCCCTGCAGCATGTTGTACTCTAACTCTAGGTCCTTGTGATCTGCATGTGTAACACTAAGTGCTGTGCTGGCCTGAAAGGATTCCGACTTGAACTCTACGAGTGTAATTCCCAGTCCCACTGGGAAAGAAAGGCTTCCTAAGGTAACGTGGCTTAGTTGCCTGCTGGAGCCACTGTGCCATGGTCTCGGGATTCCTTCCTCCAAGGAAGAGGCTGTGGATAGCGCTCAGGTGGATTCCTTAGGAATTGCCATAACAGGCTTGAGATGGGCTGGATCATGAACTGATCTGTGGAAGTAGCTGAACTTGTATGTTTCTGCAACTTTGCTACTTGGCTTTTTGTTCAGATTTGCAGTGGGTTCTGCTAACAGCTGCTCTGCACAGTCCTTACCACTAACCAAGGAGAGGCCAGGTACTTGCACTGCAGAGGAAGAGCCTTAACGCTAGTGTCTGGAAGCTCCCTAAGCAAAGTTTGCTGTGCACAAACACTTAAGCTTCTCTTAAAATTAGTGTCTCCTTCTGTCTCACACAGATAAGTCTTGTGATTCCAAACTCCACTTTGGATTTGCCTCTCTGCTTGGTGGCTTGTTCTGCATCTGCATCCTGCATTCATGCTCTCGTCATCTCGCTCTGAATTCCAGTACCTTTTTCCAGTTACTGTGCACAGGGCATCCCTGGGAACGAGCGCTGTAAAGATGGTGAAGCTTGACAGCAGCAGCAGTAGCCCCCCAGTTATGCTGCACTTGCTCCTAAACAAAGCTCCCTCTGTTTGACTCAGTGTGCCAGACACTGCTGTGCTCTGAGGGGCTGCCCTTTCAATGTCTGGGTGTAGCTGGGAGTATGTTGTTCTCATCTGCATATCTTGTGTAGAGCCATAAAGCTCCTTTTGTATTTCTCTTGCCTCTTGCTTGAGCATGATGTCACCTTTTTTAAGGAAAACAACTCTTATATAAATTGAATGGAATGGCTGGTGCTTTTGAGAAATGGGTTTCTAGTGACCACTTGCTGCTTTAGAGTAACTGTTTCAACGTTGCCTTCGAACCAGTGTACCCCTCACCACCTTTGGCGGAATACACACTTCATTAATGTGCTGGATTTTTCCCTTTGGGTGTCTTACTGGCTCACAGATGTGAATTGCAGCTCTGCAAATGCTGCCTCGGCGCGCAGCATGCTCTGTAGGGCCAGATGGGAGGCTGGGGTTTGTAGCAGGAAGTCCTCGAGCTGTGCCTGCTTCAGCCTGGCCGAAGACACTCCTCACGCCTGCCCGCTCTGTAGCGTTCACTGGTATCGGTTGCCAAATGCTGGTTTGCAGTGGGAAATCACCACACCTGATAGTCGCTAGGTCACTGGCAGGGTGTGAAAGCTAATAAATATCAAGTGAGCTTTGGCTGGTTTCCAGTTGGACGGGACTGGTTGGGTGTGAGGTGCTGCTGTGCCTGTGGGGGGTATGTATGGCCCCTTGCTTCAGGAATGAGAATGCACCACAGCAAGGGCTGAGGGCATCTGAGCAGGGGATCTGTGTTTTGCCGAGTCCTCCCCTCCCCGTGCAGGGCCTGACTGGATCCTCCTGGCAGTGTGGCATGGAGCTTTACACCGAGCACTGCAGCTGGTGGCAGGCTGCGAACGCCTGACACGCATCACCACTGGTCTGAGTCTGTTGCTAGTTGCTCTGGTATCGTAAGCACTGATCAGCCTCATGTAACTATATGTGGTGCCTTGTCAAATACTTTTTCCTTTCTGGATTGGTTCATCTGCCACAGTGCCCGAAGAGCCCTTCATGAACAGAGTTTTGATGAAATGGGACACCTCCCGTGGTTTCCTCAGGTTTGTGTCACTCTGTTCTCCACACAAATGGCACTAGCAGTAAGGATAGTCCAGACATGCTGAACTGCCCCAGCCTGTTCTCACTCTGTCTTCTGTGTCAGGGCTATCCCCTCTCTGCTGGGTCTGTTTTTTCAAGGAATTTGAGAGAGTAATAGCTTGGAAAGCTCCAGCAGACGGTGGTCTGAATCTTGGGGTATGGGGCAATAACTCTGTGCCCTGTAAGCACAAAGGAAGAACCCATAACTCCTCAGTAACCAAACCTGCAGCTGGAGTAGGGGGTCTAGATCCTGTGGGAGGGGCAGGGCTTCTGTCACAAGTGTGTGGGTGCATGGAGGCTTCCAGCCCTTACCAGGTGGGAGGTGGCACCCTGCCCTTGTGAAACAGCCTCTCTCCTCACGGGGAGGTCCTGTCAGCTGTGGGTTTATTACTGACTCGTGCTGTGTGGAGCTGGTGGCTCTGCTGTTGCACAGTGATGTTGCAAGCGATGTTATTGAAGGCTGGGCTGTGGCGGGCCCTTTCCATGCTTGTCCTGATGGAACTCCATGCTGGGTGGTAGATGGGTGGGTGGGTGATGCAACTTCTGCCCTGGGAGGTTTTGAGAGGCTTCTGGTCTGACTGGATTGCGAGGCTTGTGCAGACTGGTTACCGTGAGCTGGGCTGTTGACTCAGGAGTGCTGCAAATGCAGATTAGCTGACCAGGAGGCATAGGTCCTGGAGCTCCCCAGGTTGCAAGGATGGCTGGTAAGGCTGCCCTGTGGGCTGGGTGGAGAAGGGAGCAGGCCAAACACTGGAGCTAGCCCCAGCAGACTCAGGCAAGCATTCCATGTTGCGGAGCTGTTCCTGAGGTCCAGGAAGGGTCATGCTAATTACTTCAGTCAGTGTGCTCCCTTGTGTGGGTGGATCATCAGGTCCCTGTCCACAAGCAGTAATGCTTGCTTGAAGGCTGTGAGCCGTTGCACCAGCCTACAGTTCCTGGTACTTCTGACCGCAGTCCACTCTGCCACTCTGGAGGCCCAGGACCAGCCCTGATCACCTGGGGCTGGAGGCTGGCATCAGGGTGCCCAGCCTGCCTGCTGAGAGCCAGCATGGAGGCCAGAGAGCAAGTCCCTAGCAGTAGTAGCTGATGTGCAAGGCAGGCTCTGCGTAGGCCAGGATGGGGTGTACCCCTCCTCCATACCACAACTTCCCTCAACTTCTAGTTAGATTGTGGTGGGAGAGAAATTGTTGGCTTCTCTGGTTGCTGCTTGGTCCCTTGGTGGCTTTAGAGAAGGACCAATCAGTCAGCCTTGCTCTGTCCTGTGGAGTGAGGTGCAGCTAGAGGAGGTGCTGAGGGTAGGTGGGTGCAGGTGAGCTTCCCCCTTGTGTGTGGCGGCTGTCACGCTGGAGGGACTTGGCTGAGACCCTCTAGAGAGGGGGACATGCTTTGGCTGCTCCATGTGAACAGCTTGACTCAGTGTCCTGAATCTTACCCAGCTGGGTGTTGTTCAAGAGCAAAATATTGCTAGGTTGAAAGCTCTGAGGAATGGCGTAGATACCCTTCAGAGGGTGCCCTAGATTCCTAGGGACCTTGTAGCACAAGGATTTGAGAAGAAGCCTAGGGCGAGCAAGAATTGCTGTGCTTTATGCTTGCTCACCAGGCAGAGTCAGCACACTCTGTGTATCGCTGCAGTTCGTGATGATTAGTTCTGCCAGGCTGGAAGCTGTCGTATAAGGATATTTCACTGCTTGGAATTCCCCCAAATGCAGGAATTGGGAGTTGTCAAGCTGGGAGGACCCTGCCGGTGTAGATGGGTAGAGACAGATGCTGAACTGGTTCTCTGTGGTGGCTGCTTGTGGCTGACAGGCTGCATGGCAGGAGAGTGGCCGTGCAGCCCCAAGAGGCAACCTGTCCTCTGAGAAGATCAGGCTGGTTCTTCCTTTCCATGGAGCTGCTGATGAGCACGTGTGACTGGTACCAGCCCTGGGGATGAGTGTGGGCTCTAGAGCCCTGCGAGGCTATTAAGGACAGGGACTGGGTGGGAGGTGAAGGCTGTCAGATGCAGTGGCAGTTTGTGCCCCACTCATTTAATTGTTCTGGGGCAGACATAAAATAGAAGCCTGTGCTCTAGAAATTCCTCTGTCCCATACCCAAACTAGATACTGCTTTCAGTCCTTGTCTAGATGTGGTGCATTGTTAGTGTGGCACATTGTTACTGTGGCACAAAGGCGTGTCCTCGGAGGAGTGTCCTCCAGGTCTGGATGAGATGCTGTCATTCTCAATTCTTCTGGTGTTCCTGTCCTACCATTAAAACTATCAATCCCACTGCTGTGTGGTGTGGCTCACTCTGGAAGGTGCTTCTGGTTCAGCTGTGGTAGGACAGCTTCTTTCTGCAAAGTACTCCGCAGGCTTAAAGCACATCCTAAGTCTCTCTCCTTACTTGGGTACAGCCCAGCCTGCAGGCTCCTCTTCTGGTGTTCTCCTCTTCCTTTCTTTGCCATTGCAAGCCCTTGGCAGCACTTCCATTTCTGCCTGCACTTGGCTTCCTCTGTGGTCTTCCCGAGCTGAAACGCAAGTTAAACAAACCTTTGTTCTCCCTGGCCTCATCTGTGTAACAGCCTAGACTTGATCCTGAGGCACACGTTATGGAGACAGCTTATTTGATGTGCTCGACTTGGTACTCTACTAACCTTCCCTTTCTCTCTTTTTCTCTCTTCCTCTTGTTTCCCCTCATCCTGTTGCTGCTGCAGAGCGCCTGTACAGCCAGCTTGAGAAAAACCGCCTGCTCTCTAATGAGCTGAAGTTAACGCTGCATGATCTGTGTGACTGAGAAGGGGGCCCACTAATGCCATTAAACAAGCTTATTGCGACCACCAGTGCTGTGGACCACAGTGAAATCTGATCATTCTTAAGACTTGCAGACTTTCAAATTTTATGCTATTTAATGGGGCACTTGAATTCCTTTAATTTATTTAAGAGCTTTTTTATGAAGGTAATCTCTATTCTTGGTGAAGTAACCCTCAGACTTGACTGGGTTTTTTTGAGCAGTCTTGTTCACATCTCCGGGGGGCCTGCCTGGCTTCTCCGTGGAACGAGGATGGTTGCACCCACCAAGGGAGGGGTGGGGTGCGGTTAGGCTTATGTCTGCTAGAAGATGCCTGTCAAGTGCTACGACTTAATTTACTGTTAGCTGGATGATTGTAGTATTTCCTGTTGCATGGAATGATGGCTTCTAACAATAAATGACTGACCTGGTGGTCCGTAAGATGCTGCACACCTGTAGTACTTTCCTATATAGTTGAGTCCTAACCTAGGTTTGGGGGAAGTGGTCATTCCTGGGGCCTGAGCCCAGTGCAGCTGCAGAGCCCCAGAATGGGTTTGGAAAGCTCATGGACATCTTGAAAGCAAGTTCCAAAATCCACAGCATGAAGTTGTCTTGAGTACCTGCAGGGGAATCTTTAAATGCTGCAGTTGCTAGTGCTCTAGGAAGGCTGCTTCTTGCTCTGTGCACAGTTTCTGACCCTGGGGAGGTTGGGGAGCGGCTTTGAGAAACTGCCTGTACCTAAAGGACATCTTTCTACAGCCTGTCTGTCCAGTGTCCCAGCGTGTGGATCTCTTCAGTGATAAGGGTGGGCTCACCTTTGGAGTAAAGCCTACCTAGAGTGCTAGTTGCTGATCTGAGCTCTCCTCCTGGCTTAAGGAACATGTGAGAATTGACTGTGCAGCTGCCTGTAGTCTCAGGCAGTGTTGCAGCACCCTCGCTCCTACTTGCTCCCTGCCTGCCCTTCACTGAAAACAGCCTCCTCCCCGCTGTCCTTGAGGCATGGTTGTCTGCTCCCTGCTGCTAGGTAGTTACGGTCTCAGTGACCAGCTTGGCATCTCTGTCCTGTGCTGGGGGGAAGGGGGGCACAACCAGCTGTAATTCCAGGGGGTGATTTCTAAGTGTGTTTTACCTCTGCGTTGCTCTTGGGTGGCTTGCTGGGCCACGGGGCTCTGCTGTCTGGAAGTGTTCAAGCCCTGGGGAAAGCTAGCTACAGTCGGAGGCACCTGCATGCAAAACACTGCCTAGAGCACTGGCTAAAAGTACATCGTGACCGTGCCAACTGGGAGCACTGGCAATGTGAGCAGCAAGGGCTACAAATGAGCCAGGTAACTTCAGAGCTTCTAGCTGCACCCAGCCAGGCACCCCCGGTCTGAGGACTTGCTGCGGCAGCGTGCTGGGAAGGGGCTAGCGCAAGCTTTCTTTGGCAAAGGTTTCTGGGTTGTCTGAAGTGACTTGTAACTCTTGACTCTTGCTTCCTGTCAGATAAACTGAAATCCACCAAAGAGGAGCATCTCTGCACGCAAAGAATGCTGGACCAGACCCTGCTAGACCTGAACGAGATGTAACGGATCCCTGCCACTGCCTCCGCCACACAATGCCCAGAGGGGCCAGCCCAGCCGCTGCTGACCTCTAACCCTTGGGGACCAGAGTTTACTTTCTGTTGCCAACTTGACGAAACACAAATCTTCTTCACCTCAGGGTTAAAGGCCATCAGGTTGGGCAGAGCTTCAAACAGCATTATTAAGGGAAATTAAACAATGCAATAATGTTTGGGGAGCATGTTTGAGATGTATACATTTTGTAACTACCTTTTTTTGTAGCAACCATTGTAAACATTCCAAATAACTTGTGAGGCTGGTGAGCTACACTTCAAAGCTCTTGGCTTTAAAATTTGGTATTAACCTTCTGTTAATCAGCTCTGGGCCACCCTACTTCAGCAGGGGAGGAAGGAGGGTGTGATGGTTCTGGCTATGGGCCACTGAATCAGAGTAGCTGGGCTAGGGATGGAAGCCTGTTGGGAAAACTTCCTTTCCAGGAGCTGTTTGCCAAAAGAGCAGTTCAGTTTCTCAGCTTTAAGGTAACTCTTTGTATTGTGGAGAAGCAACTTGAGCAAAAGGAGACTTTTTTTTTTAAAGCCAAGTTTATCTGAACAATTGAACCTTCACAGGGATTGTTTCCCTTCCCTACTGCCCCACGGTTGGCCACGTCCTTTCCTGGTAGGCTTAGTGAAGCCGTGGCCCCTCTAACCCATTGCTACACAGGGGTTGAACTTGCCTGCACCAAGTGCTGACGCACCAAGCTTTATTGCTCATCGCTGGGTTACACTTAACAGCTTGAGTACAACAGCCTTGTTTTCTTGGAGAAGTTTTTTTGCCTACCCTGAGGGAGGGAACCAAGGCCTTCCTTCCTGGCCAGGAGTGCTCTTAGTGTCTTATTAAGGTACAAGCCATCTTGCTGTGCATTGCTGATGTGTAGTTGTTGCGAGGCGTGAGTGTGGAGACATGTCGAGCTTGCGGCGTGTAGCTTGTGGTTTGAGCATGCTGCTTGGTTGTTGCAGTTTTAGGGGCCAATCTGGAGAAAAGAATCCTATCAAGTGTTTTGATACTAAATTGAAAAACTGTCTTACTGTCTTTTGAAATAAACCCCAATCCCTCCACACTGCTGTCTGGCTGCAGAGTTTTACTGTGTGCGAGCTGCCATGTCCGGGCCTGTGGGGAAGGAGGGTGGGTCTGCAGACGGGGGCCTTGCCTGTCCGTCGGGGAGAAGACCGGGGGTGAGGTAAGGCCAGGCTCGCCTGCTTCTTCCCGGGCCCAGGGCGCAAAACGGGGCCTTGTGGGGCGAGGCCTCCCTCCCCGTTTCGCCTCAGCCTGTCGGACT